ATAATCATTTAATAAGCCCAGTACTTGATTTTATGTTCTGCTGTCATGTGTTCCAGCCCTGTGGCCGCAGAGTCAAGAGTACCTGCAGTGCTGCTCTTCTTTTACAGATGGCAAGGCCAAACACGGCCTCTGGTGTCAGGATGGACCGACAGCAGCCCAATTCTAAAGGAACATCACTGAGGGCCAAGCTGTCCACCTAAACCCATAGGCAGAGCCCCTCAGATGGTGGCATCATGCTTCTGAGAGTGGACAGAGATAGGAGAGCTGGGTGTCAATTCCCTCCTGAGCATCTTCTTCCCATATTGCCAGACAACAGCCAATTCTCTGCAAGGAGGGATGAGTGTGGAGACACGCACTGCCGTCCTGCCGGCAGCCCAACAGGAAAATTGCCACAAGGCAGCAACAGGCAGGACCGACTTTCTACTCTACAAAGCTCTCCCTGCTACTTTGGAGCCTCCCCTGAAAGGAGCTCTTGGGTGAATGGGATAAATCCCTCCTGCAAGAAGCTGGAAAGCAGGTTCGGCTGGCCCTGTGCAGACAGCCTCTAGGAGCCTCTATGGGGTAACAGACATCCCAGCTCCAGAGGAAAAAACATTCACTCAGTCTTAGGATTGGAAGTCCCACCTTTTGGGGGAGAAAAAGAACCCCCAAACCTGCATTTTATTTTCTTTTTACCTAATTTTGTCACTTCTTCCTCAAGGCAGGTCTGGTCCGCTATGCTAAGTCCTTACTGAAGGAACAAAGTGAAACAAATCCTATTTTCAGCATTGACAGCAACTGCCTCTCGGGGCTCTTGGCAGCACAAGGAAAGAATTTGTCTGATCAGAGAAGATGGCAAGACTGCTTCGCTCCCCAGGCTGAACATCCCAGTGAACTCATTCCCAGCGAGAGACGCTTCCCCCGCAGTGCCAGCTTCTCTCCCCAGGGATGAAACTTTACCAGCAGTGGTCTGGTTGAAGTTGCTAAACAAATCTGTCTTACCCTTCTGGGCAGTGAACACACTTGGGATACACTGAAAGCAGTAACACATCTATTATAATTGTTTTCTTACTCAGGGATCTGTATGAATGCCTTTTCTCCTTAATTAGAAGTAATCACGTTTTTCTTAGATACATTCTTAGCAAAATGACCACTGAATGGCATATTTGCTTTTTTTTTTTTTTGAATTCTTGAAAACAGCTCAGCCTAAACTAGACTTCCTAGTGATAAAAATACCTATTTTCAATAGTACCATATTATCTAATTTGAGAAATTACAAAATTCTACTGGCAAAATATTAAAGTATTTTTCTCTTAAATTGTAATCCTAGACTGAGGGAATGCACAAACTCAGGGATTCCCTATAATGACAACAAATGTTGAGGTATAATTAGAAGTATTTTTGAAAGCCAACAATTGTTTTTTGAAAGAAAGGTACATTTTAGTTTTAAACTGGAACACAAATTACTGTATTTTTCTTACAATAGCACTGAACTTTTATTTGAGGTTCTCTGTTTCTGAAAGCAGACATGATGGATTGGAATAAAAGATAATTTATTGCAATGCTTACTTTCAAGTGCAGAGAGAAGCAGTGTAATTGTAATTTACAGTAGCTGTCAAGGAAAATCTATCACAGATGACATTAAAATGACTTATTTTGCCTGAGCCACTTATTGTTTAAATGTGCATAATCTGATAGGAACAGATTTTTTTAAAAATCTGCTTTATATTGTTCTAAATTAATATCAAAACATGTGAGTTAAACATTTTAAACCATTTATTAATACTTTCATCACTACTATTTTTCCTAGGAGTTGGAAATTGGTTTATTTAACAATATCACGTTTATATTTTTTAGCTCTCTATGCTCACAACACTTTCATGTCCCTAATTTCACTGTCTAAAAAGTAGATTTCAAACTGGATTTTTTTACATCTGAAAGAGAAGGGTCAGAAATGATAGTAGAAAACAGAACATAGGCCCCAATTCTGTTTCCACCGGAGCTGACTGACAGTTTTGCCATTACCTTTAATAAAAACAGGTTAGCAAAGATACAAATTTTTATAAGCAAAGTAACTCACAAATCCAGGCAATTTTTTATTTGCAACTTGTAGCTGATGGTGGAAGGAACTGCTGCTCATGAAATACTCAGTGTCAGCTATTGAGCTTCCATAACAAAGACTACGTTAGTATACTGAATGCAAACTTACCTCTGCGATATAATTATTCCCAAACCTATTGTAGAAAGGAAATATTCTCATTATTTGTGCCTAAGATACGTTCTGCATACCACTTGAGCACCTTTACAGAAATACTGATGAAAGAAACCTAGACACATTTCCATTCTGATGGGCCTAAAGGTTTTCACCTTGTAAGTGCTTGTTCTCAGGTATTTATGTTATCTAACTCTCCTGAAACTTAAGATTTTGATGTATGTATGTAGTGTATATGTCTGTCTGCATGCAGATGTCGAATGATGAATAACCAGTCTTTCAGCAGAGGCAGTGTTAAAGTAGTTCTAAACAAATCAGCACATTAAAATCATCGACACGGTAAAATCTTGAGAAATAAAGTTAATGACCTGCTATTTCATATGTAGTTTTGAACAGCTTCTAGCTTTGATTAATCTGCTTTTCAAAGGGGGCGCTGACTATATATTTACACTTTGTAAGTAAACTGACCTCCGTAGCAACACAGCAAAAATCCCATGTCACATTAAATTCTATTTTTTTTTTTTTTTTTTTTTTTTTTTTTAATACAGCTGGAATTAATGTAGTGAATCTGTAATGAAATGCATTATTCTGCATGGAGATTTATCAGATTTTCCAACTGAATGCCATGCTTTGCTAGCACTAGCTGGAGTTCACCTGCATGTTGGTGTGGCGTGTGGCTCTTTTTTGTAAAGAGTTAAGTTGAACACAAAAAAAGGGAACAAAGGTCAGCACCCAGCCGCCACTTGAATGTGAGATTTTTCTTTTTATTCCCCTTGATGTATACTAGGCTCTGTGTTATTAGTCTTAATGATGGAAAATTGTAGTGTTGATACAAATCTTTTTTTCAAAGTAGTAGGCGGGAGCTCCATTTGTTAGTAAGTTTTTTTGTGACTAAAAGCCACGGACAGTACATTTATGTAGCAGTAAAAGGCCTAGATGCTCTTTCCATAGCAGAGCTAATTATTCCTACTGTGACCTTACTGATCTACCCTGTTCCTAGTACATCTCATCTGCACGCCTGTTCCTCTGTGTAGATGGTGTCAGAGAATATGAAAAACCCTATAATGAAACCATTTTCATGATGGAGAAAGGCTACTGGAGTTGCACTTGCTACAAAGAGGCTCAATTATATGAGTAATTGTGATAATTTTCTACATTCATAGCCTTCAATGGGGAAAAAAGAATGAGAGCCACAAAGGAAAATTACTTTAACAAGAAAGTACAGAGAGTAAAAATGGAAGAAGAGACAAAAAGGGGGAAAAAATAACCAGAAAAAAAGTTTAAAAAATAGATCTGGAGGGAGGAATAGCAAGACAGGGAGAACAACAGAAATGCTCAAAAAGCCTATGTGCAGCTGTGTTGCACAATTAAATTGAATTTTTTTTTCTGCAGTTGATGAATGTGACTACTGCAAATGTGCCTCTGTAGTTAGCTATCATTTGTTGTTCCGTGACAGGAAAAGGATAATTACCTCTCAGAGAGAATCAAAGGCTGACATGCCCTTTAGACACAGCCATGAATGCAGAGCTCGATAGAATGCTTGAATAAGAATCCAGTGTTCTGTGCCCCCTTCTACTCAAGAATAAATTTTGTTAAAATGCAAGAGCACCACCAGTAAATTTGTTGAACCCTAGGTGTTCAAAAATATGAGGTGCATCTATCGACTCATCCCATTTGCAAAAATAAAACTACATTTTGAATTCACTTCTATTATATTCATGGACAGTAAGATAGTGAGATATGCATTAAATTTCTTTTCCCAGTAGGGGTCTGATTCAACATTTCCTATGAAAGAACAGAAAGACACTATCCTTTTTCTCCAGGCTAGTTAGCCTATAATTTAAAACTGTCAAAAACACAATTTTATACAAAGTCTTCAATAAAAGCTTCTCAGATATAACCCAAAGAGGTTTTACTAAAGTTTGATTCAGACTGTGTTACAATATTTTTAAAGCTATAAATACACCTAACTGATATTTGCCGTTCTCTTTTTTCCTTAAAGTATTTGAAGATTTACAAAGAAAAAAAAAGCAGCATCCTTTCAAGGTGAATAAGTCTTGCAGCTTTTAAGTAATCAGAATGTATTCAATAGCATGTTGGGACCATTAATACTCCAGAGAATTATTGCTTAATGAAATGTATATGGTATATGTCTTTTTTTTTTTTTTCAAACATTTTAAAATAATCCATAGGTACTCTCAAAAAACTGAGACGTATTTTTGTTGAAAACCACCAGCAGAAGAAGAGTCATGACTGCATTTATGTGATGGGTAGAAGAGATGCAAAACAGGGAAAAATTTCTGAACTTGAGCTCTTTTTCCCCCTGTGACGTTAGTAGCATGCACTGCTCTTTGTAAGATCAGAAGTTCTTGAGTTAAATATTTTTCTGCTTTTTAAACAGAGCCTGATTTATGTTGACTAATTCCTTTGCAACATTCGTTATTGCTAGACAATGAAAACAATGGTTTCCAATCCTTTTACACTGCTAGAGAGAAGTGGTGTAGTTTCACACACAAATAAAAAATAAACAAAAACCCACTGCAAATTCCATCTGTTAATTTAAATCTACCTTATGAATATCTTTGACTCTTTCTACAGTTATCTTTGCTGACCCTAATATAATTCACTTAAAAAAAAAAAAAAAATCTCTTACCCAAGGAACAACATTATAGCATGGCAGTTCACATACTGATATCAGACCGAAATGATGGTTTTGAATCATAAAACATATCATCAGCTTTATACCAAACCACCAATAACCTTTGTCCCACTTGCCAGCCCTCCCTTTACTTGTCAATATAAGGCTTACCTGATTGTGTTTCCAATTACAGAGAAGGGAGCCCCTCGTTTGCAAGCTGCAATTGCTTCATCTCTACATTTCCTGGCAACCTCCACTAACTTTTGACCAGATTTATCCACATTGCCCACCAAAAAGGTTTCAGAAGTGTCACCATGGTAGCCATTGTAATACACCTAAACACATGCAGAAATGTAAAGACATTGCATCCAGAAACAGATCATCTCCTTAATTAAATCCATTCTTTCTAGGAACGAGCTATATATTGCAATAGACAGACCACAGGCAAGCTGTATTTGCAAGAATGAGACCGGAAAAGCAAAACATTACAGGGGGGGGGAACCCAAACAAAGCACGAAAGACTGCAAGGTGCACAAGGGTTGCCAACCTTAACTTCAAGAAACGCAGAAGTTGTGCACTCCTGCCCAGCAGTGCACCAGATGATGACATCACTCAGCTATGGGACATGGCTCAGCTCCGGGACATGAGGCTAGCTGGGCTTCATGCGAGAAGATGGGTTGGCGCCATGAATGGGCTGAAGGGGACCTTGGGGGCTGTTGGGTGCGCACCTGCCCTGGCTGCCTGCCCCTGGGGCCAGGGGCCAGGGATCTGTACCCCACACGGGTAGGTGTCAGGCCCCAGTGCTGGCTGTGGGCACTGGGAGACCCGCTGGCAGCTGGCAGGGAAAAAGCAGCCAGCATCCCCCTCGCAGCCAGCATCCCCCAGTGGGTTTCTGAGGCGATGCTGCGCACAGCGGGGCCAGAGGTGCACCCTGCTGCCCATGTCCAGAGGGAGCCCCACCGAAAGCACAGGCCAAATCCACCATCCGCTGCTGCATGTTTTCTTTAATCTCACTTTTAAACTACAATGTGGCATAACGTTGGATTTTTATTTCTGATTTCCAGAGATTACTTTTGAAAGAGAATAAACATATCATTCTGGCACCGCAAAGTTTCATGTGCTGAAAATGTAGCACCTGTTTAATTAATTCACACTGTCTCTTTTTTTTTTTTTTTTTGGCATTTCATAGGTTTTAAACCTCAGTTCTCCAGAAATT